GAAAAAATAATTGTTTATTATTACAAAAGAATAATTGTTGTTGGCTTAAGATAATAGGAAACTTACAAGGGAAAACTTAAGATCAATTTTAAAATTAAATAAACAGAGAAATAAAAAGAGATAATTATGATATGAAATGATAAAATTAATTATTGAAAAGTAGAAACTAATACTCCGTGTCTCATTTATATATTTGTTATTGATAATATTCTTCTATATATATATATATATATCAAACACATGAATTAAATAAGTTAATTTATACATTACTTAAATTTAACTCATTTCCCCTAAAAAAAAAAATTTAACTCATTTAATTTATAAATCATAATTATTGAAGGTCTCAAATTAATTTAAAGTAAAACTTAATTAACTGATTCAAAAGTGCTTAACACTTTTTGAGAGCCTAATCAAGGTGTAGATATTTTTTTATTCAACTTTTTTAAGGAATAATATTTTTGTACGTTCTTTTAAGAAATTGTTAAAAAAAAAAAAAAGTTTATCCGAAAGGCAACAAATCACTATACAAGATAGCAGTAAGAAATTTAGGACTTGTTCTTGAACTCCTCGCAAAATATTCTTTGAGTATCAGTTTAATGGTAGTGAGACATCGAGACCTCCTCCAAACCACAGCACTGTAACATAGTCTGGTAAAAGAAAAGGCAGCACTTTTTGTCGATAGATAGATTTCTTTTGATAAATGTTGTAACAAAAGAATTAATGTTGTTTTTGCTGTATAATATATAGAGGTCTAATACTTTGATAAGAGATTCATACCCCACCATCATTTTCAACTTTTTTATTTATTGAATGAGAATGTTTGCTTCTTTGACATGTTCATTACATATATTATTTTGTCAACTGGAGAAAGAGATAAGTTGAATGAATTAATCCGTTAGAAGTTATCTCTTCCATGTATCGTCGTAATTTTTTTTATTATTATAAAAATAATAAATAGATGAAAGAAAATATTAAATCTAAAATTTTCATTTAAAACAATGCAAAATAATAATAATTTTAAACAGTATTATTAGGAACATTAATAAAAAAATAGATAATATTAAATTAAAAAGTTAATAAAAATGACAAAATATTGAAGAGAAAATGGTTCTTCAAGAGCAGACATGGAGATGCAAAGATGACCGGAGCAATAGTCACAAGACGAGAGCTAGCGAGAGTAATATGAGAGAAGTTGAATGGGGTTTAGATAGATAAAACAATTGTGACACTTCAGAGTTCAGACTCATAAGCCAATAGTGACTTTTGTATTCTACATTCATTAAAATATAATTTATGGATAAAGTTTTCACATTTTACATAAGTGAGATTAACATTGATCCTAAAATATTGTAAGATGTCCATTTTAATCGATGTTTAATGTCTCTCTTGCTGATAAATAATTATATTTTTTGAGCATGTAATTAAATATTCAAATTTTATTGGATCTATGTATATAATAACAAAAAAAGCATACATTAAAAGAAGTTAAATTTTTAAATAAAAATCTTGTTGAGATACTTTGAATTCATATTTTGTCTGTTACTATTTTATCTGTTATTTGGTTTATAATGGAGTATTAACGAACTGTTATATTTTATTCTTGTTATAAGACAAAAAAACATTTGTATCAAATATCTCTGCTCATTCAAACCCAAGAAACTCTTAGAACTGCTTGTGTGGACGTAGGTCACGAACCACGTAATTTGTATGTTGTCTTCTTTCTCTTGATTTCTTTCTTTTGCATATTGTCACAACAAGAGGTATCAGAGTTGATGGTCTGATTAGGTGACCGACTCGACGAGTAGGGGTGGGTAGATGGACCCGGGTCCACGGACCGGTCCGTAAGCCCACGAATTTCGTGGATAATGGACCCGTTTTTTTCAAATCTGTATAACTATGTTTAATTTTTGAGCCCGGCCCGTGAAGTTTGCGGACTTGGTGGATTTAATCTGCGGGCTCGCGAGCTAGTCCGCGGACTTCACTAATTAACATTTTTAAATATTACGATTTTAATATTAAGTTATGTATTTAATTTTTTAAATTATTATGACATTAAAATTATGTTTAGTTGGTATGTATTTGTTATTTGAATTATTTTTATGACATTTTGATACTTTTATTATTGAAAGTTTGGTACTATTATTTAAGTATTTGTAATTATTTTTATTTTAATATTTTTAATATTTAATATTTTAAACCATTTAACTATTGATAAACTTTAGTATGATAAAATTTAGCTTATAAATAAAAAAAATATATTTTTCTTTTAATTTTATGTATTTATTTTTTAATATTTATTTTTTTGAACCATTTTTTAGGCCCGTGGACTAGTTTGTTATCTGCGAATTTTGGCGGGCCAAATACGGACTTAAAAAATAAGTCCATTTATTTTATGGACTGGACTTATTCGGCCCATATAAAACGTGAGTTTTACGGACTGGGCCTTAAACGAGCCGGACCGGTCCATATACCCACCCCTATCGACGAGTATGATGGCTGGCAGGTGGATCCAAGTTTGGGATCACTTGTGCCAAAAGTCTTCCTAACGATGAAGAGTTAGGAGGTGTGTCCCGTTGGCGTGAGGTCATTGATGGAGCGGAGGTTCAAGTACTTAGAACGTGAGTGAGCTCTATGGGCACCATCGGATAATACTCATGGATCAATAGCTTCCGCTGCATGGGACTATGGGCCACCATCGGATAATACTCATGAATCAATAATTTCCATGGCAGGAGGTAAACCGTCCTCCTTTGTTTGAGGGGAGGATTGTTGAGATGTAAACAAAGTCTCACATCATTCAAACAAGAGGATAAACATGAATTATATATACACAATTATCTCCATTAAAAACGAGGCCTTTTGGGTGATATCCAAAAATAAAATCGTGAAGACTTAGGTCAAAAACGGACAATATCTTATCAATATAAAAACATATGTATGTGTGTGATAACTCCCGATGCACAACAAATCTTTTACATGATAAATTAGTATTTGGCTCTCATATTGGAAACACTACGCGTTGATCCAAAGAATTTCTTATGTAATAATAGTCAGTCAAGACATTAAAGAATTAGCAAGTCCATGTTTGGTTTACTTTTGGAAAGTTATAAGAAAACCAAAAACACGCTATAAAGCACTTCCATTTATTTATCCTTTGGCTTGTGGTTTTCAATTGATATGATCTAATCGTCCAATCCTATGATAACGAGATGTTCATACAAATAATAAAATAAGTCTCGTCGTCAATTATTGTCCATTTCAGTTTACTTCGATCCACAATTCGCAACAATCTCTGATTCTTAATTCTTCAAGCAGATGCAGCTCCAAGGTACTTAAGCCTATCTTTAATTCATTAAATTTAATATATACATAGATAAAGACAGAAACATAGATTTCGATTCATTTTTTTTTGTTTGTTTCAGATGGTTCTGTTGGTAAAGTGATTAACCTTTCACATGTTCTGGCTGCGTCCTTCGCCGGAATAATTGTGGAGTCAATGGTGATGAGAGACCAGAAGATCGTTCCCCGCATGGACAAGACAGACTCTGGTCGTGTTCAAAAGCTTGAGAAGTTCTCTCACTATGTTGGTAAATCTCTTTAATTTCTCTCATGCTGGTTCCTTCATACTTTTCTAATTAATCAACATGAAACCCAACAAGTACTGATTATAAGTTATAACATCAATGGATTCACTTTTACTCTTTTGCGATCAAAATTATTTTTTTGAAAGGTTTTGAGAGAGCGGAATGAACCACTTTTTCCCTCATGGCCCCAGAATAATTCATATTGTTGTGCCTAAGTAGGAGGGTGAATTTTACTTTGTAATTAAATGCTTTTAATATTATACTTGTATTTTAAATTTTCTTTTACTTTTTGGTTTCCCCTGCATCGTCTCAATTTCTCAGCTTGAAAGAGTCTTTGACTTTTCCAGCCTCTTTCGTTTCATTTACACGGTAAACCAGAGGAAAATGGGTTTGTGCAATAACTCGTGTTTAATAAGTTTTTAGTTTTTCAAAATTAATTTCGACAAAATATATCATCTACACGGAAAGAAGAAATTTACCCACGTCCAAGTCCCTTGCTTTGAAATTTATTTTGCTTGCTTTTATTTCAAACAGTAGTCTTGTCTCTTTCCCATTATTACATAAACTTTCTAGAAACAGTGATTAATCACAGAAATTTTCAGAGCTTAAAAATATATTTTAAAATTTAAACTTTTAGTGACTTATATTTAAGTTTAAAAATATTTGTAACTTAACATTTTTTAAATAAACTTTCTTCTAATCGAAATTTAAAATAAAGAAGAAAAGAGAAAATGAAATATTCTTTAACTAACATTTTTAAACTTTACTTATTTATTTTATAAATTTTTTCTGATTCATTTAATTTTAGTATAATTAGGAGGTATAATTATTTTTTACTAAATCGGTTCATTTTTAAGATAAAATAGTATTTAATTACGATTTTATATTTAAAATAGAAATTATATTCCTGTTTTTAATCAAGTATCATGTACTTGGTAATCCATTTCTTCTTTTATAAAGTCTAAAATAAATTGTCAATGACTGTTAATTTGGACCAGTGACTTACTAAGCAGTTAACACAGTGGAACACAATGCAATAGTCAAAAAGTGAATGTAGAAAATTAAAAATAACAAGACGAAAAGTATTAATCTGATTCGTGTTATTTAATTATTTAACTTATGTACATACCCAACGTAATCACTCAAATTAGTTTACATTTTACAAGCGGTGTTCATCGTCCTCCTTTATGGGAAAAAGAAAACTAGACTTTTGACTTGCATGTTTATATGTTTCTTATTCTGACTTATGGATGAATATACTATTCTATTATACTATATATTCTTTCAACGGGTCATTAATGTTCCATGTGATCGTAATTAAGTGATAACATTAATCACATACTTGAAATCCAATATCTTGCTTTGACTTTTCTTGCTATGGATATTGTTATTCTTTTTTATTAGAGAAGTGTGGACCTTTCCATAACACACGGCTTAATTTGTTGAATGGGTATGATTTTGTAGCCAGGCAAATGGGATTTGTAGAGAACGAGGTTCCGGAGCTGTGTAGATTGGCACACGAGTATTTGATAAAACCCAAGGAGAGTGAGGAAAACATATCTGAATATATTGGACACCAGAAGGACCCTACTTTATACGGGAAATTGATCGATGAGTTTGACAGATGCATCCTTAGTTATTTCGCATTTCATTGGAACCAAGCTTCTTATGTCATTAGTCAGGTATATCAAATTTATTCAATTATTTTCTCATTAACTGCTATATTTACTTAAGGATCTGTTACCATTTTATGATATTAATTGATTAAGAAATATTTAATACATCTTTATTAAATATTTTAATTATTTAAATAAATGATAAATATTTTTTTTTATATTCTTATATAATATTGCAAATAATTTTTTACTAGATAAATATTATAACTCGAGCTCTAACATATGTTTTACTTTAGGGGTGATAATAGTTCTTTTTTTTGGAGGGAGGGAATAATAGGTAGGTATAACTAGTATTAGAACATTTGTATCCATACTTGTTTATTGTCCAAGATCAACCTGACAATTATCTTTTACTCACGTTGAGGACTACTCAACGTTTATCTAAGTATAAATTGAACTCCCAAATGATATAATTTTATTCAAAGTTTTTCTTTAACACTTTTAAAATACAAAATTGTTATAACTAATATCGTTTACTCTTTTTTTTTTTATTTTTTTTTTAAAGTTAACAATAAAGTTAATTCATTTAGTTTTTCATGAATTTTTATATTAATGGTAGATAAATTTTTTGTTAATTTTAGCTTTAGAAACCTTATAAATATTCTATAATGTTCTTTCTTTAATACATTCAAGATTGAAGGCAATTTTGACTCTTATTATCAAATTTTTTTTATTCTAATCTACATTTTTTTTTATCAAATGAGTAAAGACAATAAAAAAAAGTAAATTACACTTGCACTCATTGTATTTTTTCAAGGTTACACTTAATATTTCTCGTTATTTGCATCTACACTGAGATCTCTTAAAAGTTGAAAAGATGTTACACTTACAATCCTTATGTTTTTTTTAGATTACACCCAATATCCCTTCGTTATTTAAATTTATTGTGACACCTCTTAAAATTCGAAAAGATATTACATAAAATCGAGTTAATTTTATATTGTAGAGATTACCGATAACCATCCAAACTTTTGAGATCATTGATTCCAAAATTTCAGCCAACTTTCCATAGTCTAAAAATCTAAATACATGAACTTTTTTGAAGTTGCACTTGTTTCAAAAGTCATTGGTTTTAATAGGGAAGGTGAAGGACATTTTTGTCAAAAAATTCATTAAAAATCATGTGTAGGTCACATGACACAAATATGTTAATAAATTTGACATTGTTTGTGGATCGAGGGGATAATGAAACATATTTTCAACTTTTAAAGTGTTTCGTTGTAGGCTTAAATAACATAGAGATATCAAGTGCAATTTCCAAAAAATACAGGAAGTGTGGGCGTAATTTACTCAATTAAAAAGTGTGATTTCACCAAAATTAAATGTTATAATTAACGAGAGAATATAGATAGAAGGAAGGGAAAAGAAATTAATGGTCATTACAATTTTTTTTTTTTTTTTGTGAAAGATACTCACGTTTTACTTGTCTCAATTACAGGTATTGAGTGTTGAGTCCCCTAAGAAAATAGAGCTAAAAAAGATTCTATTGGCAGCTACAAGGTAAAATTTCTTATTTAATTTGTACTTTTTTGTGTGCTCCTTAACTAAGAATTAATATATAATTAAGTTAAATTTATTTTTTTAATCAAATATTATTATATAGGCAACAAAGGTTTGAGATAGTGACCAAGAATCTAAAGGTGGCAAGAGTGTTCTCTACATTAGTAGAAGAGATGAAAGCAATAAATACAAAGGTTGACTCACAAAGAAAGAAAGATACAATCCCTAGTTCCCAAAGTGAGAGGAGTCCAGTGTTGCTACTTATGGGAGGTGGCATGGGAGCTGGAAAAAGCACTATTCTTAAAGACATTCTTAAAGAGTAATCATCATCTCAACTTTATTCTTGCAATATCATCATTCTTTTATTCAACATATTAGATAGTAAGATCTATATAAGGCACATATGAATGTTACAATGATAGTGTTGTAGATTGTTTATATATATCAATTGTCTTTGGCAGATCATTTTGGTCAGGAGCAGCTTCAAATGTTGTGGTGGTTGAGGCAGATGCTTTTAAGGAGAGTGATGTCATATATAAAGCCCTTAACTCTAGGGGTCACCATCATGACATGCTCCAAACTGCTGAATTGGTATGTAATTATTATCACTTTTCCTTTAATTGATATGCTACTATTATATGCGCAACATGTGACAAATGGCACAAAAATATTAAAGAATTTCTCACTCACATAAAGTACTTTTTGTATTTTGAGTTATGACAAAATTGTATGACATGTTAAATCCTTATAAGCTATTATTTGAACAGGTACATCAATCTTCCATAGATGCTGCATCATCTCTACTAGTGACAGCTCTAAATGAGGGTCGAGATGTGATCATGGATGGTACCTTATCTTGGGCACCATTTGTGGAGCAGACTATTGCCATGGCAAGAAATGTTCACAAATACAAGTACCGAATGGGAGTAGGGTATAAAGTGGCTAAAGATGGAACAATTATTGAAAATTACTGGGAGCAAGTAAATGAGACAGAAGAAAAACATCAACCAGAGGAAAATTATGACAAAGAACCATGCATGCAAAAGCCTTATAGAATTGAGCTAGTTGGTGTGGTTTGTGATGGATACCTAGCTGTTGTTAGGGGCATTAGGTATATATGTTTGTGAATTCTGGCATTTTATTCTTGTTTGGGATGAGTTTTGTGAATATGTTAATTAACATTTTGCATTGGAATTTTGACAGGAGAGCTATTATGACGGGAAGGGCAGTGAGGGTGAACTCACAATTGAAATCTCATAAAAGATTTGCTAATGCATTTCCAAGATTTTGCAAACTTGTTGATAATGCTAGGCTTTATTGCACAAATGTTGTTGGTGGTCCACCAAAGGTAATTTCGAACATTTTTGTTCACCTGTGATGAAATGATTAATTTTACACTTTACTAGTATTAACTAAGGTCAAAAAGGTAACAAGCTTGTAACACATTACAGCTCATATGGTGGAAGGATGATGATCACAATCTAGCAGAGGATCCCAAAGATATCGAATACTTGGAAATGATACGCAGTGTAAATGTTGAAGCTAATTCCATCTACGAACTTTACAAGGAACCCAACATAATAATGGGACCAGGTTCTATTTGGAATGACATTGTTCTTTCACCTTCAAGGTCTAATGATCAAAAGGAATTGAGGAAATCCATTCAGGAAATAGAAAAATCCATCAGGAAACGGTAACCAATATTATTGCATGGTGTGTTTCTCCAAAGCCATGTATTGGAGTATCTAACATAGTTTGAGGTATCAAGTTTTGTGTACGTTTATTCGTTATTCCTATGGTTTAACGACAAAAGATTACTAGGGAGAAGGATAAGTACTACAATGAAGTCGTTTTCTTGGCAAATATGCAATGTATGTGTGTGTGTAAATATGTTCATATATGCTTCAGTGGGGGCATTTTTAGCTAAAATGTAAAATCAAATGTATATATCTCTTATTGACACTCCAATATTGATGTTTGAAACTTAGTATCTATTTATTGAATAAAAATAGACAAGCTATGGTGTTCTTAAGATGAACTAGGTTCATAAATCCAAAAGATCTTGTTGTGTAGTGGCCATTAGAGGGAGGTCATTCGGAAATTCATAAACGATGGATCCTTAAATTAGAGGGATTCGTAATCTAGGATTTCTTTCCATCACATTTCATTAATTGTTCTTGATTTTCAAATTCTTTTTATAGTTTGCATATAAAATTGCATGTTCGTGCAGTTAAATCCAATGGCTTCCACATCATAACTTAACATTTATAATTTGTTTTATACTTTTTCTCATATTCCTTTATTTGCTAAAACTTATGGTATTGACGTGGACAAATCACATGAAGAATGATAAGAAGAAAAAAAAAACTCTAATTTTTGTTATTCAATAAATTATGGAATTATTTTTTGTTTCGAATATAAAATACTCAAAAACATAACACTAATCATCATCATAAGTACTCCTAAACTATCACTACCCCGCCTTTTATCATTGTCATTGTCTACAATCACTATTGTCACTAATAATTATTGTTGTTGTCTATCATTATCTTACTCTTACTATCATTACCTATATGCCAATAAAATGTTATCGTAATCATCATTATTATTAGAGATGAGTATATGGACTTGTCTCATTTGTTTAAGACCTAATTTGCAAAGTCACATTTTTAACATATTAGATAAGTTTGGTCTCCAAAATAAGTAGTATTTTTTTGCCTATGTTTGGCCAGCAAAACTCATAGATAAATGGGTCAATTTGCAAATCTAATAACAAATTGATTTAAAAAAAACGAAGTGAAATTAGTTAAACATGAAAACGAAAAACAATACTTTAAAAAAATATAAATACATTTAAACATCAAGTATTTTAAATAAAATTTCAAAATCTTAACACATCAATGTCTTTTACATTTTAACAAAACATCAAAATCTTAATGTTTTAAAAATTTAAAAGTCCAAATACACTAACTAAACATAAAAATCTTAAATTTAATATTTAAAAAGTCAAAATATAACAATCAAATATCAAAGTCTTAATATTTTAAAAACAAATATTATTAAGTATTAGTGTTAACAAACGAGATTAAAAATTCATTATGGTCATATAAATTAAAAAAATAAAAGTCTATATTTGTGCAAGCCACATATTAAATAGGTCTTTCAAAACTTTTATGTCACCTCACATTATTGTCACTATCATCATCTTTATTAAGATAATTAATAAAAATTTATTAAAATAACTAATATTAAAAAGAGTATTATAACTTTTTTTAAAATATTAATATTAATTTGTTATTCACCAATGTATAAAATAAAAAATTATCTAATAATTTAAACATTTTTACTATTGTATTTTATGTCAGTGTGTATGAAATACACAATATATTTTGTTTTTGGGCAATTGAGACAAAAATATCACTAGTACACAATACACATTTTACGTCGGCTATTTTAGGGATTTTTACGTCAGAAAAGCTTCCGATGTAGAAGCGGGAGACGTAAATTTACGTCGGGGCGTGAAAACTGACGTAAATTTACGTCGAACATGCCACGGTCCGACGTAAAAAAGTCATAAAAATTTAAATAATAAAAAAAAACGAGTGCAAGCAGAACGGCCCGTTCTGCTTGATAAACCCAGGAGCAGGTTCTCCAAATCCGGACTTCATCTTTTAACTGTTCTAGCGCAGAGCTCCTTTCATCTCCTATATCTTCTTCTTAGAGCCCAAGTTTCGACACAAATTCTCGGCCTAACCCAGTTGGATCCGTGGATGTCTCTGCTACTTGCTGACAGTCACTCTTCATCTTCTCCTCTTTTATCTGAGCTTGATTCTGTTGATTACAAAAAAAAATCTTGAAACTGGTCATAAATATAACCTCAAATAATCACTCTAAAAATAAGTTCCACCAATCCCTTAGCTAAACAGAAGCAACTTACCTCATAGAAAAACAGATGGACGTATGGAACCAACGCGAAGAAGAAACCTCTGAAGAAGAAAAACAGAAGAAGAAACTTGAGGAGGCTTCGGAGGGATGAGGTGCAGAAGAAGGTGCACAACGCGCGGGAGAAAGAAATTTTTGAAATCTAGCCATGCGCGCACACCTTCTTTTAAGCAGGCTGTGAGTTATTTACGTCGGTCCCTTTAAGGTCCGACGTAAAAAAGTCATAAAAATTACAAAACATGCCACCGCGTTTTTATTACGTCGGGTGTTGTATTTCTGACGTAAAATGGGTGGCGTAATATCCTAATTTTCCACTAGTGTATGTAAAACATCATGATCCTATACTAGATGATCTAGCCTCACACATTCTAGATTAATTATATGAATTGGTTAATATAAAAATATTGATTACTTATATCAATTGGAAACAAGAAATCCATATACATAATTATAAGGATTGGAATATTTGTATTTCCTGTCATTGTTGTATCATATGAATTAGAAAAACTATATGCTTGATACTATGCCTATATACTATAATTAAATTTTATCATCATATATA